AAAACTGTTGAGTCTGCTGAACGCAGCCAATCATAAAACGGTTGCAAAACTGTTGAGTTTGCTGAACGCAGCCATTGGGTGCGTTCAGTACTACAAGCGCTCACTGAGCGCTCAGTGAGCGGTCGTGGTACTGAATACACCCATTGGCTGCGGTCCACTTGACGCTACAAACGCTTCTTTGATTAGTCAATTCGTAAAATTCTTTGTTTTGATTGGCTGTTCAAACGCTTCGAAACATTTGTAGCGTCAAGAGGACCGCAGCCATTAAGTGCATCCAGAAGCATGACCGCTCATTGAGCGCTCAGTGAGCTATAAGGCAAATTTTCACGAGCGGCTCAAACCGGACGCTTGATATTCGTCAATTTTGACTACGTGATCCTTTTTGTCGCTGAAACAGTCTGTTTAAGCAGCTCGTGAAAATTTACCTTTATACTTGTTTGGTCAATATTTTTAGATCTAATGGAATATGCCAATCAGATGCAAGAGCTCACTGAGAGCGCTTTTGTAGAGAGTGCGGTCGTGCTTCTGGATGCACCTCTGTATTGGTTGGTGCAGATTGGTGCATGTCGGTGTAGTGCGAAGAATTTAATTGTGTTTATTTGCATCCGTGTTGTTTTCTGCATTTTCTGCACGTTTTCTTCAGATTATGCACATTTTCTGCATTATATGCATATTCTGCGCATAAAATGCATATCTCCTAGCTACGCGCATAATACCCAACTCTCTGCTGGTACTCTGCAGTAGTCTGATGCGGCTTTCACTGTAGTCTGATGCGGCTTTCACGACTACCGACCGTCGACTCGTTGTCGACTCATTGCTTTTATACGCGTAATAGCTTGTTTTGCGAAATAGACCGCCGCGTTTTTTTGCAATTCTTTCGTTTTGAGTGAATACGAGTTGAATGAGTGTATCTTTATTAAGATTTGAGGCAAAGATTTGAAGCATTTCTAAACAATTCGTTTTTATTGCGAGATTGAACAATAACAATGCGCTTACATTTTTCAGTTATTGTGGCTACTCCAATGATAATGACGTCCAATATTCTTGGAATTGACAGAGTAAACATGAATGGTAAAACAACTTTAATCAAAGAGCGACATGGTACCAATGCAAATTTCTTGGTGAATGCCATTTTATCACATGCATTGAAAAGGATGGACGCCGCTGTTTGCCTCGTTCTTTGTCATAATACCTTTGGTCATTATCGTAACATTGGCATATGAAATTTGGCTACGATCTTCTTAATCT